GGGGGGGGGGGGGGCGGCGATCCTGCTAAGATGGAGAGAAGGAGGTGAGCCGGGTAAAGTGTGAGGGGAACAGTGGGGCTCATTAAATCTTAATTCCTCCTCTCCTCTTCCTGGCCCCTTGAGAATTGTGTTCTTTCCAGATTTTCACAACTAACATGTATTGAGTGCGTATCACAGACCACAGATGTTTTTACAGGAATTCGTTCTTACCATCCCCACAACCCCAGATGGAACATTAGCTCCATTTTACAGACAGGACAAATGGTGTCATCGAGGTTGAGGTGTCTGTTCCAGCCCACGGGATGGAACCATTCTTGGCTTACGGGTCAGCCTGGCAGCAAACCCTATGTGAGGTTCAGTCTACGGGCCTCCTGGAGAAACAGGGCTCATCCAGCGAAGAAATCAGGGAAGAGTTGAGCATTTACAGAGTCCACTGAGGGTTTCTTTGACTAATTCTTTGTCCTTGTGCGTTGAAGCTTTTGTTCACAGATCATGAATTATTGTTCAGCATTTCAAGTGCCTTGAAGAGTGGAGCTATGCTGCCCCGTCCTTTCTCACCAGCACAGGCGACGCGCCATCTCCTTCACTATGAAACCAATGGGGATATACGGCCCCATGAGCAACACTCACCCTTCCAGCATCTTCAGAGCACAACCCCTGCTCAGTACTGAGGCGTAATAACACCCAGCTTAGTTATGTTGCTCTAGAACATTTCACAGGATTGTAAAGGTTCATTTTCTCCCCATTGTCTGCAGCAGGGTATCTCAACCTAACCACTGTTGACACTTGTGCCAAATGATTTCTTGTTGTGGGGCATCCTGCATATTATGGGATATTAGTGGCATGCTGGACTTTTACCCACAGGATACTGTAGCAGTCCCCCTCCCCAAGCTGTGACAAACAAAACTGCCTCTAGAAATTGCCAAATGTCCCTTGGGGTCCAAAAAACCCCTGATTGAGAACCACTAGCCTACAATATCCCTGGAGCTTTGGCTTTTCTCTTCTCTGTTGGTGGAAAAGGGTGAGAGTAAAGGTTTTATAAGAACTCGGACGTAAGAGAAATGAAGCTGTTGCATGAGAGTTGAAAATTACAGATTGCATTGTGATAGCACCTGGATTCTCACTCACACAAACCTGAAGTGCACCTATTCAGGATAGGCGGACCTAGCCACACGCACACTCAAACACACAGGAATTCATGGGGACAAAATAACACACGCAGAACACCTTTTGCTCCCTTCCCCCATGCCTCCCCTCCCCCTTCACCTCCCTCTCCCTTCCCCTTTCATCTCATCGATCTCCACCCTCCCTCTTCCCCATCCTGTCTCCCTCTCTCCCCTCTCTTTCTCTTGCCAATTAAGCTTGTCTTTTGGGCATGATTGAAATGGACAGAAATGCACCTGCTCCTTTGTCTCCAAGAATCCTGTTTAATGATGTTACAGGTGTAACCGCATAGCCTCCCTCATCAGCTGGGGACAGTAACTGTCCAATCTCTTTTACCTCATCAGTGAAACGCTGGTGGCCACATCTGCACAAATTAGGAGACACACCAGTGTGGCAGCACCCCCGAGATCCCATTGCTCTAAGCATCCCGCCCTTAAACTCTAGGAGACCATGGTCTCCAGACTCTGGTCAGTTAGCTCTTGGGCTCAGAACTGCTGCAAGCATCCTGGAAGCTTCTTGAGCAGAGCGGTTAGGTTCCTATGGCCTGGGCAGGCAGGAGAGCTGGCGTGACTGCATCAACTGTGAGGCTTCTAGCACGTGGCCCTCCGCTCTCCATGTGTTCTGCAGATTCACAGGAGAGACAGAAATGCTACTTCCAAAAAGAGCCGCTTCCCATGAGCTGATGATCTAGCTGAAGCCTGGGTGGATTCTGCGAATGCAGCCAACTTGGGCCAGGGGCAGGGGCCAGGGTGAGGAGACGCTGCCCAATTTACTGTTAGGTCCCGTTGTTTTCTCAAGGCCTCACACAGACTTGCAGATGTTCTCAAGGCATCTTTGTTTTAAGGCTGAAAATAAAAGAAAAGGGGACTCAAGCACCAAGAAGGCAATGCCACGGCGACATAAATTCTGACGGCACTGGGCTCCTCCAGAGGGCAAGCATGATGCACGCACTGGGCAGGGAGCTGCCCGGACTCAGCTCCTTCCACTCGCACAGTCAGAGACGTGGGCAAGACCCCTGCTCGCCAGCAGCGACGTCGGGGCGAAAGCAGCCTCGTCTCCCACTCTCTGTTCAGTGATGTTTTTCTAACGCCCAGCTGTACCCACCTCCTTCCCCAGCCTGCAGAGAACTAATCTAAACTCATTACTGCATTGCTCAGTAAACATAACATGTTGTTTATGCGGCGATTTTGATGCGACAAGGGCAAAAGAAGAGCTGCTCAATTATAAGCAGTTGGCGAGATTCCCCAGTTCTGCTGGCGCCAGGTAAAGGGACTTCTCCTTTGACTACTGAGCCCCCCACGCCCCACAGCCTAGGCTTGGCTTTCGTACCGCAGGAAAAGGTGATGGAAAGAGAAGACAGAAGTGGGGAGATGGGTTTGCAGAAGAAATAAGGGAATGTGTTTGAGAGGGAGGAAAGTATTGAGGCGAAAGGAAACGAAAATGAACAGAGGAAGCACCTGGAAACAGAGGAGAGCCAGCTTGATTTTAGGAGAGGTGCTGAGCTGTAAGCTGGAAAATAAACTTAGATAGAGGCTGTGAGATGGCAGCTTGTCGGAAGTGAGGGATAGTTGGGGGGGGTGGATTCTAAGCATTGGCATCGTATCCATTTGGTGTTCCTGAAAAGCCACAAGGAATGATTGCGAGGCTAAATTTTTTTTTTTTTTTTAATGTAAAACATTGCCAAGACAGCCATGTGAGCACCTGGCTTATATCTGGGTTACATTAAGAAGGCATTTTTCACAGAGTTCAATATAGTTCCATGATTTTTAGAAAATCAGAGTCCCTTGACCAGAGAGCCGGGTAGATGGCACAGTGAAATGGCCTAACACTGGATTTAGGACCAGCTGCACTAGATCAGCCACTTCTGTCCATGGGAGTGCGAAAAAGACAGGGCTCTGACGCCATCAGGACACGGAGAGGCACCACACACCCCCTTCCAGCAACGTGTGCCGCCTCCTTTTTCTCGAATGATTTGTATACATTTGCTTTGGTCAGGAATCTGAGTGTTTCGGGGGGGTTGTCTTGTTTGATTTTTCTTTGTTTGCTTGTATTTTTAGCTTTCATGGGACTCAGGCAGGATAAAGCCACACACAGAAAGCAACAGGGCCTGGTTTGGCTGACTCCTGATGTTTTTTAAATACCTATGGCAAATATCAAACTGTTGGGTGCAGGGGAATCAGTAATACCCTAGATTCTTTTTGTCTAGAATTGGTGATGACTAGATGAATTCCCAGGCCCCTGCTGAGGCAGGAAACTCACACAGGGTTCCAGAACCCTTTCACAGATGCGTTTATCACCAAGACAGCACTGCCAAACTGCAAGCTGCAAGCTGCAAGCTGCATACTCACTGTGCGAGTGGGACACCTGCTTCGCCTTCTGGCAGATGTGTGTTGCATTCTTCAGAAACCAGGAATAGTATTCGAGGCAGTACCTAGAAATTTAAACCAGAGTTGAGAGCAATCACTATCTTTTGTGGCTGTTAGGAGACAACCAGGATTTTTAAAGTCATAATGGACAATTCTTCAGAGCAAGGAACCCCCTCTCCATCTTTTTGGGGTGTGGGAGGAGAGGTACAGAATGCGTCATAAAGGGCTTGTACTTTGGGGTCACAAAGACTTATTTTTAGTCCTAGCACCACTGCTTACTAGGATGTGTGACTTCAGGGGAATTACTTAATTCTCTGGGCCTTAGCTTTTCATCCATAAACAGAAGGCAATAATAGAGCCTACACTGTGGTGGTTAAATGAGATGACATTTGCAAAGTTCCTGAATAGTGCCAGGCTTGTAGTAGGTGCTCAATAAATGATGGTGTTCACCTATCTGTGTGTGTGAGAGCACAGTGCTGTTACAGTTAACACGGCAGCAAAGACTTTGCAAAGTAATACGCTGCTCTTGGCTGGTGTCGGCACCATTGCCTCAAAGGGCTGCAGGGAAGTAGCACTGATGACATTATTAGGGACAAAGGATTTGGGACAGGCTGTGTGATTTGCTCACTGTAGGACTCTGGGAATTCACTTCCCTTTCAACCCCTCACCTGATGTATGTGGAGAGTGGGCTCAACATTCTCTAATTTCTCTCCCATCTCCATCACTTTGCGATTCTATCATACTCTGGGGAGCAACTAACTACTCAAGAAAGTTAGCTGTAAAGATTTCCTGGGTTCTGTCACCCTCTATTTAAAACTGAGGACACTGAGGCTCAGAGATAAATGGATTTGCCCAAGGACACACTGCTTTCAAGTGGTAGAGTTGGATTTAAACCCAGGAGCACATAACCATTCTACTAGGCAATAAGACCAACATGAGTCAGGGCCCAGCTAGGAGAAAACAGAACCCAGGTGGTTTTAGAGAGGAGATTTAATATTGGGAATTAGTTAAAAAGGGGTTACAAGAACTGCAACCTATAAAGAGGTTAGGAAAAACCAACAGGGAAATACTGTTTAAAGAAGAAATAAAGGGAGAGAAAATTTCTTGGCTTCTCCCCTCTCCTGTTGTCCAATGTCCTGCCAGTATCTTCCACTGAATGAACTTATAAGACATGGGCTGGAAAGGCATCCTGGGAAATGTGAATTGAACCAGTCAGCCACCCAACCCCCCTACCCCTCAACACACACACGTTGCAGAGCAGACTAGAGAGAAAGCAGAGTGGATCTGAGAGTCGAGTGAAAGGTGAACACCACCAGGGCTACTTTTGCTGTGAGCATGTGACCTCATACTCTCAGGTGACATCTCCAAGCCTTGGCCAACAACCTTTCATGTCAAGCTTGGTCAACAGCTGACAGGGCCGCTGGGTATTTGGTTGCCACAGCTACAATGTATCAAGGATGCTAGAGGTGGTGTTTCACGTGGCTATGAAAGTGGGTAAGGGAGCAAGGCACCAACAACCACCAGTGTATCTTCATCTGTCAGCAGCCACTGAGTGCAGCTTCGCGGGTACTGTGCAGGAACGAGTAAGTGTATTATTCCATTTCGTTTCAACTCATTCTCACAACAGTCTGGCAATATCGGCGAGAATGCTGCTACGCGTATACATGAGTGGAATGCCTCCACCTTGCTTGTTAACACCCTTGGATCTATGGATCTTGCTTCTTGCCCTCTCTGGGTGGAGGAAACAGTCACATTCATTAAGGGATCCCAGACCGGGGCCAGAAAAGGGTGATAGGAAAAGGCTATAAACCTGAACCTGAGGCTCAGAGCCAGTGGCTAATGGAGATTGGAAAAGCTGAAGGATCCAATGAGTAGACTGAAAATAACATTGAAGATCTGATAGACTGACCTCAAACCATAGAGCAGAACTATTTACCTAGGCTGCTTGGTTCTGGGTTTACAGCCAAGAATAAATTCCAGAAGACAGATTGCATATCAGTGTTCAGGGCAAGAAAGTGTCCACACCTAGACCTTCTTAATAGAAAACCAGTCTACCTGCTAATCTTCTTACAACCTTTTCATTTGGTCTGCAAAAGGCTGCCAGGGATTTATGAAAGAACTGTAATTTAAATGGGCATGTCCCCTGACTATGATCTTCTAGCAAATTTCACCGGGCTAAGGCCATTTGGGTTTCAGGGCCACTCAAAGTCCTTTGTAATCATTCCACCAGATATGACACAGTTCAGTTCAATTCAGCTCTGCTCAGCTTGACTTGGCTCAACTACACTTATTATGTCAGACTTTGCACTTGGTTTCTGGGAACCCAAAAATGAATGAGGTTCCATCCTGGTTCTCAAGAAGGTGACAGTCCCTGGAGAGTCCATTCCTTGAGGTGGCCCTGTCACATGTCTGTAGATTAGTTCATGCTTGGCTGCCTGTGGCCCGTGGAGAAACCAGGCACAACAGGAAGCGTATAAATACTGGAAAAGTGTCATCTGGCCCAGGTTACCTCATGGTCTCCATCCTGGGGTCCGTCCTCAGGCTCATGCAGAGGCATTGCTGGAAAAATCGGCACAGCTCCATCAGGCAAAGGTTGAGCTTCTGGGCAGCCAACGGGAGAGGAGCATCTGTCATGGGCCCTTCTCTGAGGAGCCACTGAGGACACCCTAGAAGACATGATCCCAGACCATTCAAACAATAAAAATTTAACAAGGATCTTCCCTCTGTGAGATACTGTGCTAGGTGAATATGGACCTGCCCCTGATCTCAGGTGGCTTTGAGACAGACAGGTAAACATGGTGTTGGTTCACCACTGCCCAGGAAAGCTGCTGTGACAGGTCTGAGAGATCAAGGAGAGGACAAGCGGGGATCCAGTTCCTGGAGGAAACCAGAGATGGGTTTTACTGAGGAGTAAATATTCCACAAGGATCTGAAACACTGAACAAGCTTCAGAATAAGATAGATTTGGGCTCAAAACTGAGTCACTTTTTAATAGGTAAGACTCACTGAAAGTGGCTAATGAAGATAACATTACCTACCCTGCAGGATCATTGCAAAGAGAAAGTAAAAATAGGCATAACCCAATGCCTGGCACAAGTAGGACCTCAATAAATATTTATAGAGTGTAAGAATGTGTGGTGTCCAAAACTGTGTGGCACACTTTTTTGTGAATGGACAGACTCATTTATTGGAAGATACCAGAACCCCGTTATTTTATATTTATATTTCTCATGGGGTGGCTGGATGGATAGATGGATGGATAAATAGAGCTATATAAGTAAATATAGATACATAAGTATAGATTCAAATAAAGATAGAGATGTAGATACAAGGATATAGAAGGCAGGATTCTTTGGAAAAGACATTAAAGCTGGGAAAAATCGAAGACAGCAGAAGAGGAAACCAAATAGGAGCTAGATTGACTCTATAAAAGAAGCCGTCGGCAGGATTTACAGGAGCTGAGCAGGGCTGTGAGGACAGGATCTGCAGACAGCACTCATTCATAGGGACTCCAGGGCACGTAACAATGAAGGTGCAGGTTCAGCCAACTTATTTTCTCAAAGTCAGGCTGACAACTGCCCCCATCTGCACCGCTGGTGAATCTCTTTTGAATCCCGGGGCCAGAAAGGGCTATAATTTCCTACGGTAACATAATCACATCTCTGTGTGTGAAAGGCCCATTCACCACGGGCTGAGAGCGGAGCTGAGGCAGATCTGGGCTGATATGAAAAAGGAGACTGTGCGGGCTCCAGCATTTAATAATGCCCTGTTGACACACGGCTAGGGACGTTCAGGAAACCGGGACCGAAAGGCATCCAGAGCGGGAGGGGCCTGAGGGCTCCACCAGCTTTGAAGGACGCACTTCATATCCGTTCCTCCCTTATGGAAACTGGCTCGACGGGAAGGAGGAGGGTGAGATGCCCCAAAGCTGGGGGCATGCGGCACAAACCACAGAAACTGGACCCCCTGAGCCTCCGACAGCCCGGGCCCCAGCCCAGGAAAGGGTTTCCTCTAGAATTTCATAAGAATTAAGTTTGCAGGGATGGGCACAGCAGCGTGTCCTTTAAAACAGAAAACAAGTCAATTGCACCCAGAAAACGGGGGTTGAATTTTTTGTCATTCAGTCTCCTTCCTGTAGCATCAGGCCCGTTAGAAGAACACCTTCCATTTGTCAAGCGCACGGCACGTTCTCAGTGGGCGTTCACTCGATAAAAGTTGACGGAATGAAATTACGCGGGGCTCTAGAGCCCCAGCTCACTTCCACACGTTCTCTTGCTTCAGACAAAGCCCCGTGGGGGAAGGACAGCTTCAGCGCCCGCAGTGATTGTTATTACTCTCGCTCTGCAGCCGAGGCTACTGAGTTCTGAAAGCCGAGGGCCTGGCCGCCTCACCAGTAAATGGTGGGCCTGGGGTCTGAGTCCCCACAGCCTGACTCTGAACTGGTGAAACACACCCCTTTACTGTACTGCACAACCGGGTCCAAGACAAACAAAAGCAATGGGAGTGACAGGCACATACTTGAAACTTGAACTTGGTGGGGTCCAGGGACGAGGGCTGGCTCTTCTCTGGGGGTAAATGGCCATGGGAGATCACCTGCAAGGAGCAAGAATGGCCTCAAAAATCCAAATGAAATGGCCTTGAGTTATCCAAACAACCAGGGAATCATAGCACCTTAAGGTAAAGAGTTCTCGAAATCTATGGGAAAACTGTGGCCAAGAAAGAGGAAGTGATCTATTCAGGTTCACAGGCAACTTAACAGCACAGCAAAGCTGGTTCTCCTGCTTGTCCTCCTGCTAGAACCAATAAAGTGCAATAACCAGCTCAGCCTGCGGCCCGGCCCCCCAGCCCACCGCAACCCTGCCCCTAAGCTACGTTTCCTGCCTGCGGTGTTGGGTTTCTCTCTCCAGCGCACGTCCTTACCTGTCTGTGGATATCTGGGGGCCGGTGCTTTGGTTGGACTTGAAGTCTGTGTGCCAGGGGTCAGTGTCCCTGAGATGAGATGAGAGAGAGGTGAGCCTGCGCTTCTCAGGATGCTTGATCGGGAGCAGGGGCCCCAGGCCACCAGTGCTGCCCGATGCAGCCAATGATGGTTTTCAAGCCAGGTACCAGGCAGGGCACTGAGGATGCAGACATAAGAAAGCAACAGGAGCCACAGCGGAGGACTCCCCGTGTCCAGGAGGAAATGGCAAGTCCCAGCAGTAACTGGGGTACAGTGTGTCGGTGCCATTAGAAGCCCACTAATGCTGGTCACTGCGCGGGGGTGTAATGGTGTCACCCAGGCAATGTCCAAGCACAGTGCTCCTCAGCAAAGAGAAAATGACACACTTCTCACTCGCCTGAGTCTCAGTACACATTCACTCCATCCCCCTTTATAAATTGCCTGTCCTTTTCATGGCAGGGCATGCGCTCATCTCAACAGTTCTTGTGATTATAAAGTCCTGGTTTAAGGACCACAGGGCATGATCCTTAGTGTCAAGATTCTGGCCTTTGCCCAGGCCAGTGTGACTCAGTGGTTAGAGCGTCGGCCTGCACACCAAGCGGTCAGGGGTTCAATTCCTGGTCAAGGGCACATACCTGGGTTGCAGATTCATCACTGGCCCTGGCCAGGGAGCGTGCAGGAGGCAACTAATCGATGTGGCTCTCTCATATCAATGTCTCTCTCTCTCTCCCCCTCCCTTCCACTCTCTCTAAAAATCAATGGGAAAAATATCCTCAGGTGAGCATTAACAATAAAAGGATTCTGGCAAAGCAGCCCCCTTATAGGGAGTAAGGGAGAGGAAGGTGAAATGGCGATTTTCCTGGTGGGGCTAAGTGGTAGGAGAGGGCTGAGGCTGGCATTCACGTGAGCAAGGGAGGCAGGCACCCAGTTCAGCTGGGGTGGGGACCTGGGGGCAGGTGACAGCGTCCCTGAGACAGAAGAAACGCATCAATTAGTGAGCAGCACGGGGTCCAGGGACCAGGGCAGAGGAAAGAGCATAAGCAAAGGCCCAGAGAGGTGAGCTCGAGGCAGTTTGCTGTGGCTGGAATCCAGCAGGTGACACGGAGGGGTGAGGCGAGTAGCCTCAGAGCGTGAGGCCTGACCCCTCCTGGCGTGGGCTTAGGTAGCACTGATATTCCGCATGCTCCTCTGCTGGGCCCGCGGGCCAGGCAGCGTTGGCCTTAGCCCGGCTTTGGCTCTATTTAGCCCACTGCGTTCGTACCAGAGACGGGTCAGCATCCCCGAGTGGGTCAGCATCTTCTTTCGATTCCTTCTCAGGGATGGGCTGTAAGCCCCTGAACAAGGAGGGGTCAGTGGGTGCTGCTGCCTGGGTGAGTTTCTAGTAACTGAGCAGCCTTAACAACACCCTAAGAGCAGGGCTCCCTCGGCTGTGATTGTTATTCACAGTTTAACCACTACAGAATAGCAGAGGATTCAAGCTGGAAGGGACCCGGGGGGAGCTGCCGCACGCTCTCCTGTGGCGGGCGTCCTGTTTGTCACTGCTCTTTCCGAAGCATGTCTCCTGAAGCTGGCCGCGGCGCTGCCACGGGTGCAGGAGGGCAGGGCGGTCATGGTCAGTGGCTCACTGGCTCCACGACGCTACCTGCTGAGCCGAACACCTTACAGACATCGCCTAATTCAGTCCTCACAGCCGCTCTGGAAAGCGGCTATCAACTCTTCCATTTCGAAGAGGAGAAAACCAGGACTCAGAGGGATCAAGAGAACTTCATGAGGACACAGGCCATGGCAGAGTCAGGATTTCAACCCTGCTGTGTCTGAAATAAAGACCAGAGCTCAGAGCCTCAGGGCTGTGCTGGCTGCTGTTGTCCGGTTGGCCAACCCCAGAGCATTAGCGTCTATTTTCCCCATGCGTGTATGTAAGTCACCCTTGGAGGCTATCAAAATTGTTTTTCCAGATCTGTGTCACTGACATTACGAGCCTAAAGTCGAGGCTAGATAACTATGCCCCTTAAAATGCATCTACTCTTTCCCCTCTATTTCTTAAGAAATTCAGGAAAAGCAAACTTAAGGAAAGCCTACTGGGTTTCAAGGGAACAGGAGATTAAGGACACAGGCCCTTGAGGAGAGCATGTCCCACAGGGGAGAAAGGTCAAGTTCAAGGACACTAACAGCCCAGCAATGATAACTGTTGGTGATCATCCACTGACTGGTGATCATGGAGGGAGGATCTCTGGCTGCAGGTATCAGAAGAAGTGATTTTTAAAATAAATAAACTTTTTTTCCGTCTAATTATAAGATTAGAAAATATGGAAAATTCACCGTATTGGAGTGAACAGAAGGAAAAATCTTCTCTACTTCCCAGATATTGTCAAGGTTAACATGTTGTGAATTTCTTTTCAGTCTTATTTTGTTTTGTGTTCTATTTCTATGTATTTTTATTGCACACACACATGTATACACACATAAATGCATATACATACATACTAGACTTGGGATCACACTTGATAATTTTTTAAGTGCCTTTTAGAACTCAGGCCTTCTCCATATTACATGATTATGTATTAATACTCTAATTACATTCATGGATGTGATTAATGTGTATGCTATATTATACTGCATATGCATGATGCATATATAATTAAAACAATGGCATTAATATACTAATTAGTATTAATATACTAATACTAATATTAATATACTAATACCAAGGCAGATGAATTGCCTGGAGTAAACAATGTTGGCTTCTTGTGGAAACTTGTCTAATGGACAGTGAAATGGAGAAAGGAGAAAAAGTTGGCGAGAGGGTACATAAAAGAGAGAAGAGGTTGAAGATTCCAGTGAGGAGGGAGTTTTCATTCATTCATTCATTCATTCACTCATTCACTCAAAGGTGGGAAGAAGGGACGGGGTAAAGAAAGGAGAAGAGAGCGTTTGCTTTGTGATTTTTAACTGTGCTGCTAAAACTGTGTTTTATTACTTTTTTCCACGTGTATTATGTTTCAAAAATTTAGAAAAGATTTTAAAAACAGACAACGTTAAATTTAGTGTAAAAGTGGGGGACTTGGGAGAGAACATCTTCTCTTACCTGAGGTTGGGCTGGACCGGGGTGGGCTGCCTTTTGTCCTAGCAGGAGGCTCTGAAAGGCTCCCTGTGTTCCTGGTCCCCTCGGCCTCTGCAGGTGATGTCACTCCGGAGGAAAGTGTTTCCCAAGGAGGCCCTCCAGGTGTTTCTTCACTGATAGTCTGAGTCCCCGGCATAGGCAATGTGGAAGTCCAGGCCTGCCAGCTATCTGTCACCCATGGAGTTGTGGCCACCCTCCTGGTAGCTGCACAAGTGACAGTGACAGAGCATTTATACACTGGATCACTTTGATTTGGATATAAAATTGATAAGTCACTGAAATGTAATCACAGGGTAAATGCATTGTGCATGCATCATAGAGATATTTAGGGACTTAAACACTACCAAGAACTGGAATAAATGGACCAAATTAAACATTATTTTTCTAACTACCAATTTAAAAAAATATCCAAATCCCTGGGACACCCAAGCAATCTCAACATTATTTCAAACCCTCTGTCATAGTGTAAAGGCTATGGGGTTGAGGTGAAGGGACCTAGAGGGGTGAATTCTGCTCCTGCTTCCTCCATGCTGTAAAATTTGGGGCAAGTTACAAAACTATTTAGTTTTATCATTGAAATGGAGATAATAACAATACCCTGTAGTATGGCAGGATTGCTATTAAGACAAATCTTCCCTCATTGGTCTTTTAAAGAACCGCCAGAGATTCTCACTTGTTCATTCCCATGGTAGGAATTAAAATTCATTTTTTCAGGTCTTGCAAAGCGAATCCCCTTGGAGAACTTTAAACCTCCAAGTTTGAAGTTGCCGTCTTCAAAATACTCAGATTTCTTATCCAGAAAATGGTATATTGATTCATTGATTTCAATATGCTTTATTTGACTCTCATTAAAGTAAAAAGCATATATGGCTGCCTCTCGCCATAGTGTTTTCCTCTCTCGATAGTGTCCGGCCCAGTAGTTGCCTGTCATGTTATTGTCCAGCCCCATAGCTGCATGTCATGAGAGTTAGGAGAATCTAAGGGCATATGGGGTTTTATTTTTTAATTTATTTGGGTAACATTGGTTAATAAAAGTATATAGGTTTAAGTCAGGGGTGGGGAACCTTTTTTCTGCCAAGGGCCATTTGGATATTTATAACATCATTTGTAGGCCATACAAAGTTATCAGCTTAAAAATTAGCTCCTAGATTTATTGAATTTCGAGTGCCCCTTGAGGTTGCCTTGGCCAGGCCAGAACAAATGATTTCAGGGGCTTATACAGCCCGAGGGCAGGACGTTACCCAACCCTGGTGTCAGGCGTACAGTTCCACAGCACATCATCTGTATAGTGTATTGTGTGCTCACCACCCCAAGTCAGGTCCCTTTCCGTCACCATTTATCCCCTCTGTGCCCCTCCCCTCTTCCCACCTCATTTGCCCCCTGGTAATAAGCATACTCTTGTCTGTCTATGAGGTTTTTCACCCAGCCCCCTCCGCCTCCCCCTGACAGCCATGAGGCTGTTACTATTTTGTTTCCTAGTTTATTCTGTTCGTTAGATTCCACATAGAAGTGATGCCACGTGGCACCTGCGCCCCTCTGGCTGGCCCCGCACACGCAGTGCTCTCCAGGCGCACCCAGGCCCCGCTGCCGGGCGGCATCCCCCTGGCTAAGTGCACCGGCTCTCTATCCGCTCAGCTGCTGTGGGCCCTTGGGCTGCGTCCCCATCTTAGCTACTGTGAAGAAGGCTGCAGTGGGCATAAGGGTGCATATATTTTTTTGAATTAGTGTTTTGTGATTCTTAGGACATATTCCCACAAGTGGGATCACTGGGTCAAAAGGCAGCTCCATTTTTAATTTTTTGAGGAAACTCCATGCTGTTTGCCACAGTGGCTGCACCAGTCTGCACTCCCACCGGCAGTGCTCGAGGGCTCCCCTTTCTCCACACCCTCCCCGACACCTGTTGCTTGTTGCTTTGTTGAAGGTAGGCTAGCCCTCCCACAGGCGGGAGGTGAGACCTCATTGTGATTTTAATTTGCATTTCTCTGATGATTAGCGAAGTTCAGCATTTTTTCATATGTCTATTGGCCCTTTGTATGTCCTCTTTGGAGAAGTGTCTATTCAGGTCCTTTGCCCATTTTTAAATTGGATTGTTTGTTTTGTTGGATTGTGTTTTATAAATTCTTTTTAAATTTTGCATATTTAAAATATGTTTTGTATTGCCCTCAGAGGGAGAGGGAGAGAGAGATAGAAACATCAATGATGAGAATCATTGATTGGCTGCCTCCTGCATGCCCCCTACTGGGGATCAAGCCCACAACCCAGGCATGTGCCCTGACCGGGAATTGAACCGTGAGCTCCTGGTTCATAGGTCAACGCTCAACCACTGAGCTACACTGGCCGAGCAGAATTTTGGATATTTAATCCCTTCTCAGATGTATGTTCTCCCATTCAGTGGGTTGTCTTTTCATTTTGTTGATGGTTTCCTTTGCTGTGCAAAAACTTTTTAGTTTGACTTAGTCCCATCTGTTTATTTTTTGTTTCCCTTGCCCGAAGAGATGTATCAGAAAAAATATTGCTATGACACATTTCTGAGATTTTACTGCCTATGTTTTCTTCTAGGTCTGTTGCCTGACTCTTATTAATTCTTACCTCCCAGGGGAAGCTCCCTCTCTGGGCTCTCCAGGACAATAACTCTTTGGAGGTTGGATCATAACTGTCAGTTTACTTGCCTATGTCTCTTTCCCTGGCCTGCGAACTCGGGAAGAAAAGGGAACATTGACAGAGCTGTGTTGTTAACAGCTAGCCTGGTGTCTGGTATCAAATATGTCTGAATGAATGAATGAATGAATGAATGAATGAATGAATGAATTCTGATGATTCTGGTCCATTGCTGGAGCTCATTGACTGGAAGAGTTATCTCAGTTGTACCTTTTTTCCAAATAGGCTAAGTACACATTTTGTGTCTTCAGTGACAATACTACTGATGGTGTCCACAAAGATAGTGGGGGAGCAGGAACCTCTTGGCCAGCCATCACTGGTAGCTTCTCACGCTGGCATCATCATTGACATATCCTTGACATCATTATCCAGCCAGCTACAAATTAACCTAACCCCCCCATAAAATGTTGAATGCATTTCATCATTTAGTGTGAATTTCAGCTAAATGCTTTGCTGAAATAAAAATACCTTTTTGCTGCAATATATTTCAAGTGTGTAAGAGATTCTCATGGGGGATGCTGGGTGAGGGGTCCTAGGGAACTCTCTCTACTATATCTGCAACTTCTTGTGAGTCTGAAACTATTTCAAAATTTAAAAATTATACAAATAAATGTTAGAAGGACATATATCAATGACACTTGTCAGTATGGGACCTATACTCACTCACATCCATATGAGAAGAAAGGGGTTGGTAAAGAGAGGAAAAGATTAAGTGAGCCTAGAGGGCACAGGACGGTGAAACAGGGCAGGAGAGGAAAGGGAGAGAAACCTTACCCAAGCCCAGGAGGGTGGGAGTGACACTGTCTGGAGTGGCCGTGGCCGTGGCCGTGGCCGTGGCCGTGGCCTTGGCAAGAAGTTCCAGAAGCCTGTCTATGTTCACGGTCTGCTCTCCCTCTGAAGGACGAGTTGTCTCTGTCCAGGGAGATGTTCTCGGAGCAGACACGCCGGTGCTCTGGGCTGTGCTTGGAGAGCTTGTCCTTGGCAGGGTTTGCTGGCTCGCGGGTGTGAGCTCTGAAGTCACAACGGTCCCCCTGGTAGCTGCATAGTCAGGGAGACAGTCTATGCAGCTTTAACATTTTTGTCACCTTGGGCATAAAGAACTGTTGCATCACTGAAAGGTCACCATCTCACAGTAAATACTTAGAATGCAGAGATTCAAACCTTACTCAGACCAGCATCATATATCACCAAAAAGGCGCTTTCTCCTTGAATGACAAATTAATCTAAAATAGCAGTCTCTGAAAAAGCCATCTGAAGAGGCACAGTGAACAGAATGCAAAGCTGTCAGAAAAAAAGCACAAGACAATAGGGAGCAGAGAGGACTGTGGAAGACAGGAGAAAGGTGGCCTTCCTAATGGCGAGGATGGGGGCAGCAGCTACTCAGCACCAGTTGCTTGTTGCCATGGGTGAGGGGGAAGATGATCCAGGGCTGCCAGATCTTTTGCAAGAAAAGAAAAAAGAAAAAGAAATTCAAAAAATAGCAAAATCTTCCTATTTTAGCACAGTATATATTTTAGCGCAGTAAATAAAATACTGCGGGCAGCATTCAGTGTTCAGTTTGCTAGGAGGGAGCCTGGTCTGGAGACTCTAGAGCCCGAGTTGGGAGGTTTCCACTCACCCAGGACACCAGCCAGGCTGCTGGTAAAGGTGTAATTGATAACCGGAGATTTCTCCACCATCTCCCAGAAGTCAGACAGGTTCCTTCCTGCAAAGATCCCCCGACAGGTTCAATCTGCGCTCACCTGCTGGTGGCTGCCTCTAATTCTCAGCCGAGAGAGCTCATCCAAGGCCGGCTGGGGCTCACCTGACTTTCCTGTCATCACACAGATGAAGATACAGTCGGATTCGTTTGTCTGACTCACTGTAAGGCAACAGCACACGACACTCAGCAACGGCTCCGGAGCTGTGACGTCCTCGTGCGAAATGAGAGTTAAGCTAGAAACCCGTAGCGCAGGCCGCGGTGGGAGAATAAGGCCCCTGCTCATTTGAAGGCAGCCCCGGCTTTCCGGGGCTCCGCGGGGTGGGGTGCAGCATGGTGTAACGGCTCAGGGCACAGCCTCGGGGGCAGCTGCCCGGCTACATCAGCTCTGCCACTTACCAGCTACGTGAACAAGGGTGAGCTGCTTGACTTCTCTAGGACTCAGTTTACTCCTCTTTAAAAGGGTGAAATTACCATCCCATAGCTCCTCATTTGCAATTTCCAAATCCCCAAAGCTCTGTAAGATGGGACGTTTTGTGTCATTTTGGTACCAAAACTCATTCAGTGGCCAAACCTGGCTTGACAGACGTGAGGCTATTTGTGGTCTTTTATCCAGCCCACGTGGTGTGAAGGGTCAACCTTCTGCTACGTGAATATGGGTGTCTCTGATGACAGCACCGCCCCGGGGGCTGCTGGAGGTCACAGGATGCTCTATCATGGCTGGTGCAGCCCCCCTATTACACCTTCAATGGTCTAAAATCTTCTGTCCCTTTAGGGACGGTGGATGGGTGGTCACGTATCCCTGGTAGGATGGCTATGATGATCCCCTGAGATGTGCGTGAAGCTCTAAGTTGGTGCCTGGTAAAGAGCTATAATAATAATTATTGTTGTTGCTAATGTGCTACTATTATCATGTGTATTAGCATAGTGACCAGGAGCATGAACTTCAGACCTAGATCGCCTGGGTTAGAATTCTCTCTCTGCAGAATGATCTGGGGCGGGTTACTTAACCTCTCTGTGCCAGTTTCTTCACTTGTAAATCGCGGATAAGTTGGGGATAAATATAGTGGCTACCCGGCAAGAGCGTAGTTAGGATCCAATGAGGAAATACATGGCAAGCCCTTAGAAGACTCCCAGGTACCTAATGACATCTATTATTATTTCTCTTTTTTCCTATTGCCCTTTTTCTAAAACAGTAGTTTCTCCACAGTGTTGCAAACCATCCTTCTGATGAGCCCAAGTGTTGGGCTGTTAAATAGACCTGTGCTTTGCAAACTGGGACCCCAGGGATTGCCTGAGGTTCTATGAAGCCCCCATATAAGTGAGGCATGTCTTCTCAGTTCTATGTCAGATAAATCTCAATCTGAATTCTGAACAACCTTGTGCAAAATATTCAACCTCTCTGAACCTCAGTTTTCTCATCTTTAAAATGAGAGCATAGCTGTTCAACAAAAGCTGTTTTCTTGAGTCTGCCTAGATTTCCCCCAACTTTGAGCCTTGGATTCTACCTCCAATGTTAGCTCTGATGGGAAGATGGAACCTTCGGATACTGGTGGTTGAAACTGGACACACTGATTGTCTAAATAAAACTTACGCTAATGTTCCTGGCAGCCTGGCCTAATTGCAGGTGTTGGGGCAGGGGTTGGGTGGTCCGCTGGGTTTGATTATACTCCATGGTGGATGCCACATCTCAAATTTGAAAAGTGTTTTCAAGATAAACACACCTGAGAGGATGGAGGTCGACTTAAAAATCTCTGTGAGGTAGCTGGTAGAATTTCCAATGATGTCCACCAGGAGGGCTGTGAAATCTGCAAGACAGATTGAGCAGGTTTAAATTTCAGAGACTGAGGGGGAAAGTATATTGTATTTGGATATTTCAGAGTAGATTTTACAAGTTCAATTCAGTTCAGTAATTTGAAGAATATTAACAATCATATAGAGAAATACCACTAATTATTTTTAATAGTCTTAATTTCAGGCAGGCAGAAAATGTTTGCACCCACTGTTATAATCCCCTTTCTCTTCCATTGCCCTCTCCTCCCAAATCCTTGTCTGCCAACCCCAAAGAGCTGTGCAGGTCAAAACTGTTGAATGATGGTTTTTCTGATTTGTTTTCCCCCTGTTATCCTGTAAACTTCTACATGATCTGCAATACCCTTCCTGTCTTACCCCACAATTCTGAGCTCATTTCCCATGACTCTTCACCCTGGAGTACCTGCTTCAGCCCACTGGCCTCTCCAGTTCTCACTCTGCTGCGTGGGCTTTTGCCTGGAACACTCTTTCCCCAGGTACCACAGGGCTGTCTCCCCACTTCCTGCAGATCACCCCTGAAGCATCACCTCATTAGAGAAGCTTCCCTGATCACACACAGCAGCCCTGCCCACCACTTCCCTCCTCACCATGTCCCCTGCTTTATCGTTCTCACAGTCACTCTATTAGCCAACATACTATGTGTTTTCACTCCATTTACTTTTCTGTCCCTCCTACAGAATCTAAATTCGATGAGAGCAGGGGGTGCCCCTTTTGCTCAGCGTGGCACCCGCACATGTAGAAGAGTGTCTGTGCTCAACAAAGAATGGTTGAATGAATGGATTAGTGGTGAGAGAGTAATTTTAATTTTAATTTTTCAAATTTCTCTAAATATAAGGGACATGTAATACTTGTAGTTGTAAAAGTAATGCATGAATAACTCTCATTGAAAAAAAAGTCAGATAATACAGGGCCCCATTAATCAATATTTTCCTATCCAGAACTTACACTCCAATCTTCTCAGAGACAATTGCCCATCCGGTGCCCATTCATGGATGTATTTTTTCATAGTATCCTGCATATTATTTTGTAGCTTTCTTTTTCTAATTAAAAATGTCATGGAAATTTTTCCATCTGTAGGCCAAATCCGGCCACACCAGTTCACTTGTATTGTCTCTGATTGTTTTCTGAGGTTTGTTTATACCATAGACTATTTAAACCATTTTCCTAAGAATGGATATTTAGCTTGTTCTCAGGTTTTGCTATTAAAATAATGCTGCATCAGCATTTTGTTCTTATTTCTCTGTGCAGACATAACTATTTCTCTAGAATAGCAGTTTTCAACATTCTTCATCTCATGGCACATAAACTACTAAAATTCCACCCAGCCCAGCAGGGCGTGGCTCAGGGGTTGAGCGTCGACCTAGGATCCAGGGGTTCCATTCCCGGTCAGGGCACATGCCCGGGTTGCAGGCTGCAGCCGATCAATGACTCTCTCATCATTGATGTTTCTATCTCTCCCTCTCCCTTCCTCTCCCTCTCCCTCTCTGAAATCAATAAAGATATATTAATTAATTAATTAATTAATATTCTGCGGCACTCCAAAAAATATATTATGCTTTTTGCTGATCTGAAAAAAAAAATAGGTATACTTTTGATTCACTCACTCTGGACGGCTATTGTCGTGTTGGCCATTGTCACTGTTTTATCTGACCCCCTAAGGGGAAAGAGGTCAGTGCCCCTGACTAAACAGTCAGGTGCTGCATGTTTAAAAATCCCTGCGGCACTCGGGTTGGAAATCACTGCTCTAGGGGAAAAGCCAAGAAAAGAACTTCTGAGACATCGAACGTGCACATATTAAGCATAAGAGATACCGCCGCGTTTTCCTCTTACTCTAAGAAGGGGAGATGGGCCCAGCCTTGGCCCAGGGAGCACCAGTGAAATGGGGGCCTGGCGACCCGGGGGTCCCGCCCACCTGAGAGGCCGCCGGTCCTGTCGCTTAAGCAGTAGCAGTGGCGCGTGGGGAACTTGGCCTGGTCCGCCGGCCGCAGGCTCGAGACTGTGGAGAGAGGCGGCCACACAGCGGTGCTGACGCGGCTGTCCCCGCCCCGCTCTCGGCCCCCTCCCAGAGGCACTTACTGTTGTAGATGGCCACAGAGAACTTGTGGAAGGCAAAGGAGCTGTAGGAGGTGATGCTGAGCAAGGAGAAGAATTTCTTGCTGTCTGCCAACGACATCGAAATGGAGAGACAATGCCTGCTGGCGGTCATAAATAACCAACACACCTTCCTAAGCCCATCGTGGGAATTACCAATACAAGGAACACATAATGAAATAACTAAAAAGAATAATAGAGTTGAAAATAATAAACGCAAATGCAAAAATGCGCTTCGTGAGGCGGCTTTTCCTGGCCTGGCCCGGAGCTCGGCAGTTCTCTCAGGACAGTGATGCAGAGCAGCTGGCGCCTGCGGCGGGCTGGCACCCGGCTTGCCCTCCACGTGCTGGCACCCGGCTACTTCCCTGGGTGCTCCCCTCCCGCCCCGAGTTAGGCCGGACCACACAGCCTCCACTCTGAACGCAGGGGAGCTGGGCCGCGGAGGTGGGACGGGTCTGGCCCGGTCACACACAGTCCAGGGTGAGGCTGGTTCAAGACCCAAAGGGGCCTGGGCTGTGCTTTCAAGAGGAGGTTACCTTTTAAAGCTCTGCTCAGCATCCTGTTCACCACCTCGGTCAGGTTCAGCGCAGACAGATCGACGGACCTGGCGGGCAGCTCTGGAAGAGAAATGGTCACTCGCTCCGGTCGCTCAGGCAGATGCACCTCCTCTTTGGACACTGGCTGAACTCCTCCCTCACCCCACTGGGCACAGGAGGGCGAAGACACCGGCAGCTCCTGCCTCAGCAGGGGACAGCAGCAAGTTAGAGCAGAGGGGGAGGTCTGGGTGCAGCACCAGGAGCACTTACTCAGGAGTATTTATCCCTGCCCTGGAGAGGGTAGGGGTTGGTGGGAAATGCTTATACAAATATAATGAGAAGCCCGAGGAAATGAGCCGGGTTCTCACCATGCTGGGTTTGGAACTAACCACCTTGCTGGACAGACGAGCTCAGGCCTTGCTGGGCATTGGCGTCACTGGAAAGATACTTGTTTTTCATACCACAATTCCTATGCTTGGGCTCCTTCCTCAGATATTCAGATATAATAGACCTGGGATATGGCCCAGATATCAAGACCAAAAGCATTTTCACTTTTTCTTATGTATCTTTATTGATTTCAGAGAGAGGAAGGGAGAGGGAGAGAGAGGGAGATAGAAACATCAATGATGAGAGAGTCGTCATTGATCGGCTGCCTCCTGCACACCCCTGACTGGGGGTCAAGCCCACAACCCAGGCATGTGCCCTGACCAGGAATTGAAATGCAATCTCCTGGATCCTAGGTCGATGCTCAACCTCTGAGCCATGCCTGGCCGGGCAGGACCAAAATCAATCGATCAATCAATCATCACCCAGATATTGGTAGTATGCAGCTGGGTGGAGAGAGGCTGCTGGGTTAAAATCCGCCTTGTCCCTGCTCTTCCCTGAAGCTGTGAAAACAATGGCTTTTACTTAATGTTCAGATACCTATCGGGCTAAAGCAATGCGAAGACTGGATAGAGGCTGTTATCTCACTGTGGGGGTAGAATGGGGTCCTGAGAAGTGGGAGAATTTTCTCAGCAGCCCAGGCCACCCATGGGGCCCCACCCCTTTCTTTCCTTTCCTGTCCTCTAAGGGCAGACCCTGGGAAGAGAAAGACTTCAGGGGAGAGATGGGAGCCTCCAACCCAGCCCCAGGTTGCTGGAGAAGCCTGGGAGGCCTCCAGTGCTTGGTCCTCAGGCTAGTGATCGCAACAGTCACTGGGGACAGTGTGAAAAGGCAGATTCCAAGTCTCTGTTTGAGATTCTAGTCTCCTTGGGCCACATGTGGCCTTGAAATGCACATTTTAATAAATAGATGCTGGGGGGAGCTCATCTGCCCACCCCTTTACTAAGGTAGGAAACCGAGGCTCAGAAGGGAAAAGAAACTTGCAAAATGTGCACTACTGAGCCCTGGTAATGAAGGGGTCATGACCTACTTCTTAGAGCTCAGAGCACTGGCCCTTCCAAACTATCAGGCCACTTGCCCACACGGCAAAGTTCATGGCATCAAAGAAGAAAATGTCAAAGGAAATTTTGAAATGGCAAAGACATTCAGTCATTCTTTATTCATTCAGCAAATACTCTGAGGCCCAGAAGCGTGCTAAGTGTGGCGTATAAAGAGGTCAAGGAAAAGCACCAGGTTTCCACCTCCAAGGTGCTTACTGTCTGTGGCTCAGGTGGGAGGAGGGAGAGTCACGTGCAATTGCAAGTGAGGAGCGTCAAACAGGGAACAGTGGGATGCTGTGAGCACCTCCATCGGGGCACCCAGCCTGGTCTGGGGGGATAGAGAAGGCCCCGGTGGATGACGTGAAGCTGAGATTTGGAAAATTCATTGTTTTGGATAAGAAGCCATTTAGTCATACAGAATTTGTTATTATTCTAGTTGCAATGATTAATTTCCATGTTGCCTTCCAATGGAGAAAGTGCTTTATGCCCATTCTGTAGATGGAAAAACCAAGGCCCAGGGAGGCTAAGAAATGTATTCTGACTTACAGTGTTGCAGCCAGGATTTAAGGCTGGCCTAGTTACCTGTTGCACCAAGGAAAGCCCCAGCTTTTTCCTTCTCAACTTCATTTCCAGACACTGCAATACAAGTTTACATGAATAAAACAGTATCGCGGAAGCTCAGCCTCACACAATTTATAACATCCTCACAAGTCATCCTGTCCAACACTCCTTGGAAGGGTGAAGAAACTGAGGCCCAGAAAAGGGGAGCGATGATCCTGATTCCCACACCTGCCTACTGGCCCTGTTTCCCCTCCCCCCAGCCCCTGGCAATCACCTTTCTTCCTTCCGCTTCTGTGACTTTGACTAGTTTAGATCCTCCGAGAAGTGATATCGTGCAGCCTTTTTTCTTTCTGTGTCTGACTTATTTCACTCAACGCAGTGTCCCCCAGGTCCACCCACTCCGCTGCGTATGGCAGGATCACCTTCCTGCCCATGTTGTGTAAACACCCCACTTTCTTTTCCCGGTCAACCTGTGAATAGACACTGAGGTTGTCCCCTGCTTTTCAATTTCCCTGTTGAACGTCAGGTCCAGTCGATGTGACCTTCTACTGATTATCAGGCTTTTGGGTTAAATACCAGAGCTTTGGGTTAGAGGCAGGTGGGGGCTATGGGTTCCCTTCCCTACAGTATGGATGTAGAGGGGCGGGTGCTGGTTATGCTACCTCAAAAGGAAGCCTGATGCCCACACTTACTATCCTGGGGTCCCAGAGCTTTCAAACAAGCCGAGCTCTGGCCCGGAGAGTTCCGCTCCCCTCTCGGTGCTCTGAGCAGCTCTCCACCCTAGAGCAGCCGCATTGAGGCCTTCGGGAGGCGCTGACCACCTTGCTCATTTCCTGGCCAGGGGGCTCAGTCCTCCAGGCAGGTGAGGGACTAGGGTCATCTGGGTTCGGGATCTCCAGGCTGTGGGGTGCGGCAGCTGCTGGGCTTGCAGGATCCCTACACCTGTCCAGCCGGAATGATGGGCCCTGATCCATCTTCCTAACCAAGGACTTTCCTTAAACACCATTCCTTTCCCCCCAAAATTATTTCTACCCCTCCCTTTTTATAATTACACCCCCTGGGTGGATTTGATAGTATTTGAAGTGCGCATTAAATTCCCCTGAGGCAGGGGTTCCTGAATAGGGTGCTCCACAGAAGCATTTGCAAATACATTTTCAGACAGAGCATCTAAAACTATTGTTCTCTTTTGGATAAAAAGACCATCATTGCAGTAACTTAAATTACAAGGCGTTGGCACTTTCCATGCTATTCACTAGTATTTTTATCACCTGTTATCCTCTGGTTACCTGTAGAGCAGAATTGTTGTCACCAGGTAAAGAGGAGAAAATTGGAGGTTCTGATGGGGGACATATTTACTGAAAATTACTCTGTTTAGACACAAAAATCAGCATAACTGCTGCCCCCCGGGGCGGGGCAGGGCAGTGGTGGGCTGGGGGAGTATTTCAACTTTATACACTTTTTACTATTTGCATTTTGAAGCACATGAATGTACTAATTAAAAGTAAGTGATATTTTAAAAGGAAAGAGTAATCTCCAACTCACTTCCCCAAAGTATGCAAAAAAATTACCCTGCACGTTTAGCAAAAAGTTAGGAACAGAAAACCAGTCCTTGACCCCTAAGTGTCCTTTATGTTGGGATGCATTCACCATCTTGCCACCCAGCCAATTTCAGACCACCAAAATATGCAAAGAAAGATGGAATTATTACAAAGGATAATAGTGGCATGTTACAATAGCTCCCAATGTGAAATCTTCCATTGCTAATAGGATGTCACAGTCTTTGTGAGTTTAATAGGATCATGAGAATCCAGGAGTTCCATGAACCATAAAGCAATGAGCAACTCACAGAAACTGTACCTATGACTGTTAAAGCTTGAGATATAAATACAATCCCCATTTTACAGATGGACAGAAGCTCAGAGAAGACAAGGAATTTCCCCACCAAGACACAGTGAGCTAGGTAGGAGCACCCTCCTGCCCATTTACCTGTTGTAGGTAGGAATGTCGTGACCTTTTCCTTCTTGGCTTCCCCTTTAATAGCAGACACTGAAGTTAAAAAAAGCTTTCATTAGAAAAATTATAATCCAGACATGACCTTAGAGAGAATTATTCCAAAATACTCATGTTAAAGATGAGAAAATTAGGACCTGGAATGTTGAAGCAACTTGCTGAAAATCCCACACGTAATTTGTTCATTCATTCAATCCTTTAGTCATCAAATATTTATTGGCCAGCTAGAATAATACTAATGATTGATAATGTTATTCAGCACCTGGACTTGAACAGGCAGTATGATGATAAATGGATACAGACTCCATCCTTATGGAGCTTATATTCTAGGTGGGAAGGCAGACATCAAGAAAATGAAGACTCAGGATACTATTATAAACAATGTCAGATACTTCAAAGGGCACTTGGAGGGTGTATAACAGGGAGCCTGATCTAATCGCAGTGATCTGAAAGCTTCAGCTGAGATCTGAAGGCTGGATATTATGTCAGCAGGTTAACTGGCAGAAGGGTTATTCATTGTAGAGCTAGCATGTGCCCAGGGTCTGAGATGGGCATGAGTGTGACTTTAAAGAAGTGAAAGAGGCCAACAGTGATGGGACACAGAGAATGAGGAGGTGGGGACTGAAGGAAGTAGCCATGGCAAGGTGGGCAGGGTCATGTCTATCAGGTAAAGGACTTGGGATACTATCCAAAAAGAAGTAGGAAGTCATTGGATAATTTGGGGAGGGGCAGGTGAAAATGAGGGAGGAACTTGGAAAGTGACATAATGATGAAACTTATGAAAAGATCAGTCAGGCTGGTGAGCGGAGAATGGATGTTGGAGAGAAGGGAGAAGCAGGCAGCTGATTCAGAGGTCCAGGAAGGAGAAAACGATGGTTTGGACAAGAGTGGTCACAGTGGAGGTGAAGATAATTCTGTTGCATAAACGGCACTCAATTGCAAAAAATCAAGGGACAAAACCAGAAATGGGGTTTTATTATTGCCATTTAGGTCCAACTCATTTAGGATTCTGGCCTGAAATGTTGGCTGCTGCCAGTCTCTAAAGCACAATGAATACCCAAACTCAGTATATAGAACAGACGCTTCTTGAACTCTGACCAGACCCACCTGTGTTCCAAAAGGACAGGACACATGCAAGGCCCACACACAGCCTCACAGGAGCACCATGTACCAGGAAGCCAGGCATGTTTGTGATATCTGGACCACCAGGAAACAAGAGCGCAGTTGGAGGAAAGAGGCTGGACTACTATCCACATCGATTCAGAGTATTCTTGAGAACACTGCATGGGGAGTCATTAGAAACACGTTCTGAAAAGGCTCTGTATAGTTAGGCTATGCTGAGGTAACAAATTAACTCCACAATCTCATTGGTTCAATTCAACAACAAAAGTTGATTTCTTGTTTGTAATCCGTAGTTGTTGCATACGAGTGGGAAACTCTGCTCCATGCAGTCACTCAGGGACCTGGCTAATGGAGGATCCACTGTCCTGGAGTTCTCTATCTGGTCCTTGTGGCCTCCTCAGTCATAGGTTCATTGTGCAATGGAAAGGAGAGAGCTGGAAGACTATGTACCAGCTCTTGAATGCTCTGGAGGGAAGTGACACACTCGCTTTTATTTACAGCCCATGCCAGAAGTCCTGTGGCCCTGCATAATAGCAGATCTGGGAATGTGAGAGGGGCTTGCATGCCTATTCTGGGAGATTCAATGCCTCTTCCAAGGTTTGTCTGGAATGTTTAGATGGGAAACATCCTCCAAATACAGCATCATAGCTGCTTAGGAAAAAATTTAATATACAAGTATAGGTGAAGAGTTCACTCTTTCCTTCTCTGCATCACTGTGTTCCAGCAATTCTCCCGGGAGTTTGCTGTGCAGAATCAGCATGACAGTTAAAGCTGCAAAGCTGAGACTAATAAGAATAATGGTGACAATTTACTGAGTGCTTTCTGAGTGCCAGACACCACACAGAATGCTGTCTGACACATATTATCACTTAAGAACCACAGAATCTCAATGTGTTGGTATTAATGTAATTTCCACTTAACATCCAGGCCGCACAGCCTTGGTTTGAAAAGAGCAGGAATTTGCCATTGATAGAGAATGAAATAGATCTGGAAGGTGAATTGGGGAGGGGGAGAAACATGAAGAGAAAGTAGGGTTGAGGAAAATGTCTTAGGAATTGAGCATCTTCATGGCAAATTATACTTTACGAAGTCCTGCTGTTCATTTGAGATGGACCCACCTTTGGAATTTTATTGAAAGACGCTAGTAAACATTTAAATTGCTTTTTAATTATTGGTAAATAGTGAGTGGTGTCTCTTCTGGATGTCACTCTGGACAGGGACAGGCCTTACTTACAAGGGAGCAAGAGTTTAAAAAATTTTTGTTCCATAAACCTGTCTTTTGCTAATTGAATTTGCAGGGTTCCAGTCCCTGAACCTAAGAGCGTAGAGGAAACTCTCCAACAGCATAATTTATAGCCTTCACTTTTAGGCATCATCTCTTATTTTCTTTTCTCTATCTTTTTTTCTATTCCTCACTGTTATTTTACCTTCTCAATCATCCTGTGAGAGAGACACTGATATTGCAATCACAAAGAGAAGGATCCAGGGACCAGAGGTGAGGCCCCCCTGTTTCTGGTCACGCAGCTCCTAAGTGGGACAACTGGGATTTGAACTGTGGTCCCTCAGATACTAAAGCCTGGGTCCTTTTTCACCACATTTTACTATATTCCCCTGCCCATCAAAACCCCATCTTGGACTGCCACAAACAGGCCTGATGTTGAAAACAAACAGAATTGATTATTGCAAAGCATTTTGGTGGATGGAAGGAGTTAGAAATTCAGTCACACTCCCAGAAGAAGGGCTGCAAAGTGCTGTTGTGACCGATGAGCCAAGAATCTGCCCAAGAGTCTTGTGAAATAAATTCACAATATGTCCATGTTTTATAAGCAAAGCCCTGGAGCTGGGGATGTGAATGGTAAGCTTTAATTAACATCGTGTTACTTCCAATTAACCAGGATCACCAATCAACCACAGTTAGTTTTAGCTAGCCAAGGAAACCTGCTTTTCTCACTGCACTGTGCAGCCAAAGGAAAGATGCCTGATCAGGCAGAATAATTACAAGGCTCAGTGGAGAGATGAACACTCACACTGAAGTCCCATCTTGTTTGGGCAGCCACAGGGAAAGCCCCAGGTTCTCAGTACATGACCCTGGACCATCCTTCCAACCTTCAGGGTAAGCATCAGCTTCCTCCTCCTGAGGAGGACCCAGGGACTGGGGGATGTCAGAAAACTCGCCCAAGGTCCTTAAACAGGGGAGTGGCAGCCCAGACTTCACACTCAGGCAGTGGGCTCCAAGGCCTGGGAGACAACACTGAAAAGTGAGGTTCTGAGGCAGAATAGTAAGAAGCTAGGAAAATTCCTTGGCAATTGGAATGGGGAAACAGACAGAGAGCTGAACAAACTGGCCGAGCAATTTACAGCAGGTACAGAAGGTCACCTCCCTAGAGATAACACCTAAGCCTCAGTTGTATTTCAGCTTCAGGCCCAGAAAAGCAGCAACAACAGGTAGGTGACGCCAGGACCACCTGCAATGACCAATGACCCCCTGCCCTGGGGCTGACTAATCAGTGGAGACCAAGATCCTGAAAAGGCACAAGACCCTGGGAAAGCTGATGAATATTCTATTGAGACCTTCCCCTGGGACCTCCCTTAAAATCCCCACCTTTCAAAGCTCTTAGGACTGAGGACCCAGTCCTTTTCTTCCCCCACAGGCATGCATCTCCTAAACTCTAAGGGGCCCCATGAGACCTTCAACCAGGGGAGCAATGGGCAGCGGCAGCTCATCCCAGGCTAACCCCCTGATCCTATCTCCAAGTCCCCCTTCTCTGACTTCCAGTGAGCCAAAGCAGCCCACCTAGGCTCTCTCCTATCTTGTCTTCTATCCTAGGCCCTTCCTTGTTTCACTGTCCCTGCTAATAAACGTCCTCTCAAAATCACCTGGACTCGTGGTATGCAATCTTTCCTGCACGAAGTCAAGGAGCCACAGGCTACCAGCTGGCCCAGGCAGACCCACTCAGGGCCAGGACCCCTTTTTGTTAATAGTTCTGCCTTTTCAAAAATAGTTAATGCAGAAAATGAGGTGAAAATCTAATATTTGTTGACCATCTGATGTGCCAGGAATTTTCCATGTGGTCGCCCACTGGTCCTCGAAGCAAGCCTACTTAGTTGTGACTAACCTTAGTTTATAGTTTGAGGAAACTCAGGCTCAGACAAGTGCAGTCTCAGCCTAAATGCCATGTAGGTACTGGGAGACAGAAACACCCAGATTCCTTCCATTCATCTCTTTCAGCGTCCAGGTACCCAAAGCTCGGGCCCAATAGCAGATGCATTCTCAGCTGGCTCCATGCTTTGGGGAGGAGAGGAAGCCAAAGAGTTTTAAAGTACCGACAGTATGTGACTTACCTGTCTGCTGAGCAGGATAAATGACTTCAAAGAATTTCAGCAGCAGGAGAGATTAACAGCTCAATCAGAGCTGTGGGGTTTATATGAGTTCTTAGTGAAAGATACAGAAGGGGGGTGGGGAAAGGCTTGATAACTTTACTTTAAATCCTGGGGGGAGGGGGGGAATAATAATCCTACCAAGAACTCAGGGCAGTGAAACTGGATCAGCTCCATGGGGTAAAATGCCCGGGCTATGGGCTGAATAAAATAGTGAGCAGAATGACAAAGCAGCGATTCAGGAATGGAAACTGCTTCTGGTGGTAATTACGTGTATTGAAGAGCAGGGCAGGATCACTAAGTGATGATTTCCCCTTCCCGTTGTGAAGGTCTGGGAGCCAGGCATCACCTGGCTCGGTGCAGGCCCTGTGTGTCCCTCTCGGCAGGCGCCCTGAGCTGGGCAGGCAAGCCTGGCCCCGCTGCCTTGTTTCATCACTCAAATGGGTTTACATTGTTAAATGGCCAAAAAAAAAAAAAAAAAAAAAAATTAGGACCTTGCTTTGTGACACATAAAAATGATATGAAATTCACATTTCAATATCTACAAATAAAGTTTTATTGGAACGTTGCCACGCTCATTCATTTGCGTACTCTCCAAGGCTGTTTGTGCTGTCATGACTGAATTGAGTAGTTGTGACGGGGACCCTATGGCCCGCAAAGCCTGAGATATTGACTCTCTGGCCCTTTAGAGAAAAAGTTGGCCAGCCACTGGCCTAGAAGAACCTGCACAGTCAGATTCCTTCTGCTTGTACAGCCCAAGTTCAAGGTTGGTCTTTCTTGTCTGGGCTTCTGAAATTCTTGCTAACTTGTCACCTGCTACCAACTTGGTCCCCTGAATGAATGTCCCTTATATCAGCCACAGAGATTTTTTTTAAATCAACTTTGTTAAGGTATAATTTATAGCCTATTAAATTCGTCCATTTTAAGTGGACAGTTCAATGACTTTTTTAATTTAACAAGTTGCATAACCATCACCAGAATCTAGTTTGAGAGTATTTTTGCTACCCAGTGAGATTCTTTGTGCCCATTTACAGTGAATCCTCCCGCCTTTCCCCAGCCCCAGGCGACCATCTACTTTTCATCTATAGATTTGTCAGTGACAATATTGCTCCTGAGTAATCTCCCTGCTTCTGTCCTTGCCTCTGTGGACGAAAAGGGGCCACATGCTAACCTGACAAGCTCAGTGGAGGCCTGTGTGACAGCCTTGCAAACTCAGAGACCTAAAGTAGCCATAAAGGATGGTCTGAAATTAAAACTTTTTAAAAAGTGCTTTATGTTGGGTAGTCATGTCCTAGGCCAGCATCTTCCCTGGCATAGGTCAATCTTTACCCTAACTGAGCCCGACTATTGTCTTTTTGCATCTACGATAACATGTCTTTGGAATGTCAAAGTAATTTTCCTTTTCCCGGACCTCTCAAAGCACGGGCACTGCTCTGCGGAGACCACAAGAAAGGGGACATCTGTAATACTTTCAACAATAAAGATAAATGTAAAAAAACCACCCTCATTGTTGCTAATTGTTGACTGTTAACTATCCTATACCCGCCTATGTAAAAGAAGCATGTGCCTAGCATTTCACTTTTTATCTAATGCCAGAGGTTTCCCCCCTGTGCTCTCTCGCATCTCCCTAATCTATCACCAGTGGATTTCATGTAACCCACAGAGGCCTTCTCTTTGGATTGTGAT